GTGTTGTGAGGTGTGAAAAGAAAGAAAAGAAGGCAAAAGAAAGAAAAGAAAAAGTAGTAGAAAGAGGTGAATTGTATTTTTCTTCTTTTCCTTTGTTTATATTTTATATTTCTCGTCTGCCTGTTTCTTTTTCATCTTCTTCCTCCTTTCCTTCTTAACCTCTCCTTGTTCTTTCATCTGCCTTCTCTCTCTCTCTCTCCTCTTCTCCCTCCTCATTCTCTATTCCTCCTCCTTACTATACTTTCTCTCTTTTCTTTCCTTCCCATCTTTAACCACTGTAATTCTTCTTCCCTCCCATATATTTCCCATTTCCCTCTTCCTTCTTTCTCACCTGCCTCACCTCACCTCCCTCTGCCTCACCTCCCTCACCTGCCTCCTCCCTCCACCCCACCTCACCTGCCCTCACCTCCCTCCCCACCTGCCTCCTCCCTCACCTGCCTCCTCCCCCTGCCTCCCCCTCTCCCCCTGCCTCCTGCCTCCTCCCTCCTGCCTCCCTCCTCTCCCTCCCTCACCTCCCTCCCTGCCTCCCTCCCCTCCACCCTGCCCCTCTCTCACCTGCCTCCCCACCTCCCTCCCCTGCCTCCCCACCTCCCCTCCCCCACCTCCCCTCCTGCCTCCTCCCCACACCCCTCTCTCACCTGCCTCTCCCTCCCTGCTCCCTCCCTACCTCCCCCCTCTCCCCTCCCCCTCCCCTCCCCCTCCCCCTCACCCCCCACCCCTGCCTCACCTCCCCCCTCCCTCACCTGCCTCCTCCCCTCACCTGCCTCCTCCTCCTGCCTCCTGCTCCCCTGCCTCCTCTCCTGTGAGCTCACAGTGTGTTGTTGACAGATCATATTATCAGCTACGGTCATCCCCAGATCCAATTAACATGTCACTGTCTGTCTGTCTGTTTGTCTGTCTTATCTGTTTATGTTTCTTTCTGTCTGTCTGTCTGTCTGTCCCTCACTTACATAAACAGCTCCATATATCATCGAAACCACTCTTGTCTGTCTGTTTTTTGTCGTAATTAACCTGTAGACAGTAATGACCTTGATGTGCTGTACAGGTGAGCAATCACTAATACTCACCCAGTATTAGAATGAGTCATTGAGTTTTTGTGGTAGTGTGTTTGTTTGAGTGTTTGGTTAGGTTAGGTTAGGTGATTATTTTTTATGACTGTTAGCGTACAAGTAATAATGGGTCTCTTAAATACAGATATATATAAATACAGAAAAACCTCTATATGGTTCTCTCTCCATATAATCCGTTAGATGGAGGTTTTCACATCTAATGGACCCTCGATATAATGGACTTTCATACCTAAATAAATCGCTAAATGGAGTTTCATCTAATGGACCCTCGATATAACGGTTTTCTCCTAGTAATCCGTTAAATCGAGGCTTCACTATATATACTGTATTATTTTAGTAGGTTATTTTGTCTGTATCATGTCCTTTGTGTTATATATATTGCACAGTGGTTGAGAACTGGGCCCCGTGAGCCCCGCTGTCTTATGAAATATTCGCAGGGTCAGTTGAGGCGGAACACGACTCTTTTAAGGTGTGTTTATCTCTCTCCTTCATAGTTATGTAAGTCTGTGTCTTGTGTTTTGGTTAGGTTAGGTTAGGTTAGGTTAGGTTAGGTTAGGTGGGTTAGGTTGGGTTAGGATTGAGTTAGTGTGTTATATTGTGATAAATTTTCCGGCGACAGATCCGGGAGTGTGACCGATGGCGGGTCGGAGACAGAGAAGTGTGCGGTGGTGGGTCAGGAGGACAGGAAAGTGTGGGTGGTGGGTCAGGGGAGAAGTGGGGTGGGTCGGGGAGAGAGTGTCAGGGTGGGTCGGGGAGAGAGGGAAGTGGGCGGTACTTAATCAATGAGTCAATTATTAACATTCTCGAACAACAGCCTCGGTCAGACAGCTCTCGTTGGCTTGAGACACCGACTGAATAGAACAATGCGTCTCTCATTGGCCAATTAATTTGTTGACAACAAAGGCTGATTTACCAGTCAATTGATTTCCAAATGAGTTCCGGTTATCATCGAGAAAAAATCCAAACCAGAAGTCCAGCTGTGACGTTCTGAGGTGGTGGGACGTGCAATACCTCCTGGTTATAGTGTGTTACAGTATGGTCTAGTGTGTTACAGTATGGTCTAGTGTGTTACAGTATGGTCTAGTGTGTTACAGTATGGTCTAGTGTGTTACAGTATGGTCTAGTGTGTTACAGTATGGCTTAGTGTGTTACAGTATGGTCTAGTGTGTTACAGTATGGTCTAGTGTGTTACAGTATGGTCTAGTGTGTTACAGTATGGTCTAGTGTGTTACAGTATGGTCTAGTGTGTTACAGTATGGTCTAGTGTGTTACAGTATGGTCTAGTGTGTTACAGTATGGTCTAGTGTGTTACAGTATGGTCTAGTGTGTTACAGTATGGTCTAGTGTGTTACAGTATGGTCTAGTGTGTTACAGTATGGTCTAGTGTGTTACAGTATGGTCTAGTGTGTTACAGAGTGTGACAGTGTATAACAATAGCTGATACAACACTGATTCAAGAAGTAATGTGTGTGTATCATAATCACTGGTGACACTACTATTAAGATTCACTACAATGTATAGAAGTATTTACGGAATAAGATCATGTAGTAACTAAACTCCTTCAAGACGGTGTAGAGGTGTGTGACTTACAGGAGAAAAGACGCTCATATTACCCACGTTTGAAACTGCATGTAACTCTGTTTATAAGATTACCCAGTGTGGCCTGAGTCTAAACCACGGTGATATGGACACTGAATTCTTGACATAGTTACAGCGTAAATACAGTATTACAGTAGACTAAATCCCCGTGTGATAACTTACTGCTCTGTACTATTTTTTTGAAGGTTATCTCGGATTATTTTTGTATTTGTCATTTTTGGGGGATATAATATTGTTAAAAATGTGGGAAGTTCTGTTGTATGAAAAACTAGAGTGTATAGGAGCTGTGACCATTACTCAGTGTCAGTGGGGGTTATTACACACACACAGACACACACACACACACACACACACACACACACACACACACACACGTCACAGATAAAAACAAACTAGATATTTTTTGTCTCCCTTATCACTAAATATATAACAACAGCCTCGTGTAAACCCCAGAATATGTTACGGCAGAGTAAACATGAGCGCGTTAAATAAACACAACTTTGTTTACCATTGTATTCCTCGACCGTCTAGCCGCGAATATGTGTATAAAGAAAGACAACAGGTAAACGGGGAAGAACAACAAGAGGGAGAATAAAGAGAAGGTGATAAAGATAGTATAGAAAGTTTTAAAGAAATGGGAAGAAAGGTGGTGAGAAAAAGGAAATAATGATGAGAGAAAGAGAATAATGAAGATTATGAAGAATAAGGTATCTCTCCCGCGAATATTAGGTATAAGGTATCTCTCCCGCGAATATTAGGTATAAGGTATCTCTCCCGCGAATATTAGGTATAAGGTATCTTTTCCGCGAGTATTAGGTATATAAACTATCTCTCTCGCGAATAGCAGGTATAAATTATCTCTCGCGAATAGCAAGTATAAACTATCTCTCGCGAATATGTGACAAAATATATAGAGTATTTCTCACTTGAACCTTTGATTTACTTTAACAAGGAGATGTCTCAACACTGCCTGAGAGACGGCCAGGAGGTCTCAAGGCGCTCAGCGTCACTCACAGATGTTTGAGTGTAAAATGAAACCTTAGGAAAGAGGGATTTATTTTTCCAAGCCCTCTGAGAGAATTCAATGCTTTATAAGAGGTTTCCGAGTGCTTGTAGAAGGTTTTCAAGAGTAAATAAGAGGCTTCTGGGTTTTAAAAGGGTATGTGAGATTTCCAATGGTTAAAGGGTATTTTTTTTATACTTTCAAGAGGTTTCTGAGTGTTTTGAAGGTTCACTAAAGATTTCCCAGTGTTGAAGGAGGTTGACAACACTTTGTAAGGGATTTTTGATTAGTTAAAGATGGGTTTCAACACTATATAATAGGTTTCAAGTATTTAAAGAGGTTTTAACACTTTATAAGAGGTTTCCAAATGTTTAAACAGGTTTCAACACTTTATAAAAGGTTTCCGGGTGATTAGAGAGGCTTAAACACTTTACAAAAGGTTTCCATGTGTCTTACTTCCTTTCTATTCAGTTTATAGAGTGGACAGACACTTAGGAGGCTTCCATAACACTTTACAGATGTTTCCAAATTGTTTAAAAGGTTTCCATCAGTTTATAAAGAGCATCCAAACACCAAGAGGCTTCCTTTAACACCTTTTAGTCTCCAGATACCTTACAGGGTTTCTTTTAACACTTTACAGAGAGTTTCAGAACGCCAACAAGGGTTTCCAACTTTCCACCAGTTTATCAAAGGTTCTCATCAATTGTTTTTCCTTATTAAGTGATTGTTTAGCGGAAAGTCTTGAAACACTCGAGTGGTTTTTTTTTTCAATCACTGGGGTTTTTTGTTATTTTTATCTGTTTTTGTTTACATATGTGTTTTTTTATTTTAATGTTTACTTTTATATTTTAATTTTTTTTATGTTTAGTTTTTTTTTCTTGTTTTTCTCTTATAATAAACATCACTATTGGGCACCAGTGTCACCAGACAATCACAAACACGGTCAATATATTAAAACTTTTACCAGAAGCTTAGTATATATATATATTTTTAGTCCATAAACTATTATCCATATTTTACTAGAAACTTTACACGACAAGTAATAAAAAACTTGTAGTCACTTGTTATCAGAAACTGTATTAATATTTTGTTTACAAGAAAGTATTGTATTATATTTTATACAACAACAATAACAACAATATAATGAGTGTTGTTTGAGTCTTTAGTTTCCCTTCATGTAACCTTTTATCAACACACACTCGGACACCACCACCACTAACACCGCCGCCACTACTACCACCACCACCACCACCACCACTGTCACCACCGTCACCACTACCGTCGTCACCACCACCGTCACCACCACCGTCACCACTACTACCACCACCGTCACCACTACCGTCGTCACCACACCACCGTCACCACTACCGTCACCACTACCACCGTCACCACTACCACCGTCGCCGCCTCCCCCGACTCTTCTTCTCCCGTAGCTCAAAGTGACATTGACAAACTAACTACATCACTGCAAGGCACAAACACACCCGGGAGAACTACACTCAGGGTCCCTTCACTCTCATACACTCCGGCCATGATAATAATAAAAGTCATTTATCTCTGGGGAGTTTAGGGAGATTTATTCTTTAATCCCACCAATACGAAAAGAGATTAGTGAACAAGCTCATCTGGCGTAGGGTGAGACAGGGCTGTTGGTCACTGTAGTACAATATATTTAGGATAACAAAGTGAGATGGTGTTATGGTGTGTGGTGGTCCTTCTCTGACTCAGGGAAACACACCATCCACTATACACCATATCTCGAGGACTGTAGTACCGTGGAAGCTGCTGGTGTCTGGTGATGATGATACTCACAGTCTCAAGGTCTGGTTTGGTTTACGCTCGGGAAGTGCTTCTGGACACACAAACACACGTACGTACATATACACACGAATACGCACTCATGATTCTGTACTTAATATACAACAAATGCAGTTCAATGCACCCCTGTGAGGCCTCGAGCCCAGGACGCGCAGGTGAGTCAGTGATCACAGGACGCGTAGATTGAGTCAGTGATCACAGTACGTGCAGGTTGAGTCAGTGATAACAGGACGCGTAGATTGAGTCAGTGATCACAGTACGTGCAGGTTGAGTCAGTGATCACAGTACGTGCAGGTTGAGTCAGTGATCACAGTGAGCATGAGGCGAGGCACGGCCTGACTTAACACAGAGAATCTATTCGGGTAAAATATTCCCTCGAGCGATGAACAGCGGGGAGGACGGTGGTGGACGACCCTGTAGGCGAGGCGACGAGTTCCTGGGACAGGGTCGTCCTCTGAGACACGACTTTAGCCAAGCTGGACGACCCACTGGGCGAGGCAAGGAGCTCCTGATGTAAGGTCGTCATAGGACCGAAGACTTTACCCACACTGGACGACCTGTAGGGCGAGGAGAGGAAGTCTTGGGTGAAATACGACTTCTCACAATTAACATTAATCACGTTGGACGACCCATGAAGCGAGGCGACGAGCTCCCAGATCTTCTTCAACTCTACCATACTGACCAGACGGGACGACCCACAGCGGCTGGTGATCCTCTGGTCGTTGAGGTCGTCTCACGGTATGCTGGCGTGAGCAATGGGTGAGACGGACGAACTGTGAGGTACGACGAGTGTCACTTGAGGTTGGGTCGTCGAGGGGTCGTCTGGGGTGACCACCGTCTCGACTGTTAGGAGGAAGAGGTTGAGGTAACACACAGCGACTAACAGATCCTTGCGTCTACCTCAAATATTTACTACATATTTTATTAACAGACTTATGTATAATAATGATGTAAATAAATACTTTCGTTGTACATAAATATAAGCAGATTGTGTATATAGTGATGAGATGTATGTTGTATATCCCCCAGGGTGTACTGTATGTATACTTACTACGTATGGGCGGCGGTGGTGGGCGTCTGCTGTCACCCTCGCCGGGATACTTATTCATACTCATCTCTTCTCTCTCTACATCTGCGGTGGTCATGTTCCCGCTGTTGTTGTTGTTGTTGTTCTTGATGTTGTTGGTGGACACGATGGCCTCAGAGGACCTCACATAGGTCGGGGGCGCCCTTGGGAACATCATGCCGACCACTCCGAGGGCCGCCTGGGTATCGAACAGGAGACCTTGAGAAGCCTTGGACTCCAGTTTGCCTTCGTATTCAGTGGTGGTGTTGGCGACGGACGGATCTGAGCTTGAGGACGCCATGATGCCCAGTGTGGACGCGATGTAGGCTCCCGGGGACGCCAGGGACTCACACAAGGATGCCATACCTCGGGCGGTGAGCGCTGATCCCGAGGACGTCCTTCGTGACAGTCCTGTGCTGCCTGAACTGAAGGTGGCTGACCGAGGCTGTGGAGAGCAGGGACAAAGTTCAGGTTAGGTCAGGTCAGGTAAGGTCACGTCAGGTCAGGAGAGGATAGGTCAGGACAGGCCAGGTCAGTATAGGATACATCAGGATAGGTCAGGTTAGGACAGGTCAGCATAGGATACGTCAGGACAGGTCAAATCACATCAGTTCAGAATAGGTCAGGTCAGGTTAGGACACAACAAGTACAAAGAAAGTTTTCACCAACAGTAACACACACAATACACTACACTACACTACACTACACTACACTACACTACACTACACTACGCTACGCTACACTACACTACACTACACTACACTACACTACACTAAATACACTACACTACACTACACTACACTACACTACACTAAATACACTACACTACAATACGCTACACTACACTACACTACACTACACTATGTTTATATATAGTGTCTGCATTGATCAGCTCATCTAAAGCTTAACTAACAATGTTGTGTCATCAATTAACTGTTCTCACTCAAGTGTTATAATATTAGCAATGTTATGTGATCACCTGTGACATGGTAAAACTGCTTTGTGATAAACTGTTTTACGATGAACTCTTGTGATCAGCTGTCCTAAGATCAGCTGTCCAATAACCTATTAGCCTATGATCAGCTGTCCTTTAACCTATTAGCCTATGATCAGCTGTCCTATGATCAGCTGTCCAATAACCTATTAGCCTATGATCAGCTGTCCTATAACCTATTAGCCTATGATCAGCTGTCCTACAACCTATTAGCCTATGATCAGCTGTTCTATGTTCAGCTGACGGCCCAGGTGTGAGTCCTCACCTGTAGGAGGGTGATCGACTCTCTCTCCCCCCGGCTGTTCTTGGTGAGGGTGACCCCGCCCGCAGAGTCCAGGGCGGGCGGGTGCAGGGGCGTGGGCGAGCTGCTGTAGTAGGAGTCACATCCTGCAGAGACACACACACACACACACACGGTCAAAAGGTTAACCTCAAGGACTTTAGTGTACACATTCCTCAAGGGTGACTTAACAAGGATAAATATTGATCTATCTATCTATCTATCTATCCATCTATATCTATCTATCTATCTATCTATCCATCTATCTATCTATCTATCAATATATAAGTCAAAGTGCTATACAGTATATCAATCGTTCCACAATACTCCCTTAGACATTAATTTATGTTATATGTTTTAACGGTGTGATTATATAAACAGTATATACCAACAGACAAACTAACAGACCTATTAATTACTCATAGCGGGGCTTAATAACAATACAGGCGACTCATTAAATAGATATTAATACTCTGTTAATATAAATGTTTGAGGTGATAATATATTCCGGGGAGTTTAGTTGAGTAAGATAACTTTGACAATTTGTTTGAGGTGTAAATTTAAAAGGGTGATTGTGTGTCAGTGTGTGTGTGTGTGTGTGTGTGTGTGTGTGTGTGTGTGTGTGTGTGTGTGTGTGTGTGTGTGTGTGTGTGTGTGTGTGTGTGTGTGTGTGTGTGTGTGTGTCAGTGTGTGTGTGTAAGTGTTTGTGTCTGTGTGTGTGTGTGTATATTATTTTTGTGTGTATATGTGTCTATCAAATGTGTGTATCTGTATCAGTGTGCGTGTGTATGTGTGTGTGTTTATCTCGGTAAATAATCCGGTCAATGTTTGGATATGAATCTTAAATACTTTTATCAACATTCCGTAAACTATTCTGTCAAAAAAAAAAATACTCATTCAAAATATTTATAAATTAATTGAGTCAAAAGCAAAAGCAGACAAAAATCATCCCTAAAAAAAAAATGACAAATTTTAGTGCAGTATAAAAAAATTCACTTTCCATATATTATTTTTCCAACTCAAAAATCGAAAAAAAAAAAATTAAATACGAAGAAAAATGTATATAGCAAAACATACATAAGCATTAAAAATATATATATTAATTTAGATACATAAAATAAAATAATACAGTAGTGATGCAATTTATATAGATGCAGTGAGGAGAATATAAATGAGTTAATAAATATATATACAGTACAGCATCATGGAAGCCATTTAGCGTCTGCAAAATAAAGGGACTTCCAACATCACAACTCAAGGCACTTATGAGATAGGGGGTGAGTGTGGCTAAGTGAAGACATAGGTAAAGAGTGTGAGGAGATAGGTAAAGAGTGTGAGGAGATAGGTAAAGAGTGTGAGGAAATAGGTAAAGAGCGTGAGGAAATAGGGAATGGATATGAATTTTCGGATAGGTTAGATATCTGTGAGGCTAGTATAGGAGCATAAGGAAAAGCCAGGGTAGGGTAAGGAGGGGCAAAGGGTGTACCGTAGGATATACTAAGTTAGTGTAGGTCAGGGTAGGTCAGTGGGTGTACAAGATGATGTAGAGGCTGGGTTAGGGCCTGTAAGTGTGGTTTGGGTGTTTGTAAAGAGTGTAGGCTAGTTTAGGAGGCATAGGGGATAGGGTAGGCTAGTGAGCAGGCCGAGGGTAGGAGGTAAAGGGAGGATAAACTAACCTGTAGGTGCACGAGCCTGCAGGGGTGGCTGGTAGGCTGGGAGGATGGGGTATATATCATAACCTGTTGGCGGTCTGGCCTGCAGCGGCATAGTGAACCCGCTCTGGCCTGTAGTGTACAGGCCGAGGGCTTTAATTCCACCCACCTGCCCATACCCGTTCAACGTGCCTGTAACACCAAGTGGGGGAACCAGCTGTAGATGGTGAGATCTGAGCCCAGTCCGTGTACCATCTGCGACAGCTTCGGGGACTCCACCTCTCTTGACCTCGTGTTCAAGTGAGTCTCCGGGTCACTGTTAGTCTAGGTCAATATCAGTCTGGGTCACTGTTAGTCTAGGTCAATATCAGTCTAGGTCAATGTCAGTCTAGGTCAATATCAGTCTAGGTCACTGTTAGTCTAGGTCAATATCAGTCTGGGTCAATATCAGTCTAGGTCAATATCAGTCTGGGTCAATATCAGTCTGGGTCAATGTCAGTCTAGGTCACCATTATATTTGGTCACCGTCAGTCACTAATCATTATCAATATAAGTCACCATCGCTCATCCATCTCTCATCACACTGGAACACCATTATCACGTCGTCACTGTCACCGCACGTCGTTACTATCACCACACGTCGTCACTATTACCACACGTCGTCACTGTCACCACACGTCGTCACTATCACAACACGTCGTCACTATCACCACACGTCGTCACTATCTCCACACGTCGTCACTCATCACCACACGTCGTCACTATCACAACACGTCGTCACTTCATCACCACACGTCGTCACTATCACCACACGTCGTCACTACCACCACACGTCGTCACTATCACAACACGTCGTCACTATCACCACACATCGTCACTAGCACCACACGTCGTCACCCCATCACTACGTCGTCACTATCACACACGTCGTCACTATCACAACACGTCGTCACTATCACCGCACGTCGTCACTATCACAACACGTCACTATCACAACACGTCGTCACCATCACCACACGTCGTCACTACCACCACACGTCGTCACCTATCACAACACGTCGTCACTACCACCAGCACGTCATATCACCACACGTCGTCACCATCACCACACGTCGTCACTATCACCAACACGTCGTCACTATCACCACACGTCGTCACTAACACCATACGTCGTCACTATCACAACACGTCGTCACTATCACAACACGTCGTCACTATCACCACACGCCGTCACTACCACCACACGTCGTCACTATCACAAATCACGTCGTCACTATCACAACACGTCGTCACTATCACCACACGTCGTCACTATCTCCACACGTCGTCACTATCACAACACGTCGTCACTATCACCACACGTCGTCACTATCTCCACACGTCGTCACTATCTCCACACGTCGTCACTATCACAACACATCGTCACTATCACAACACGTCGTCACTATCTCCACACGTCGTCACTATCTCCACACGTCGTCACTATCTCCACACGTCTTCACTATCACAACACGTCGTCACTACCAACGTCTCCACCCCGAAGATGAACAAACAATAGAACTTAATTCTCTTGAGAAGTTGAGTTGTATCACAAAGGTTCAACAACAACTCTATCCCACAAGTTTAGTTCCTTCTTGTACTGCACTGTGGTCAAAGGCCTCGGTCCAGGGTCTCTCAGTCACCACCAGCGGCAAATGAACATCTTTTGAACATTTTGTCGTGGAAATTGACCTGTGTGTGTGTGTGTGTGTGTGTAAAATGACTCCCTGTAGAGTCTTATAGTAGAGGTCTCGGTCATGAGGAGTGAGGTCTACCAGCGGTCATAAACTCACTCACAAAGTCCTAAAGTTAAGACAGTGACCCAGGACTCTCAGGCACGAGACCTCGACACAGAGAGGTTGGTCCCCGAAGCTTCAGACTTGATCTCATGAGCAGTCACAAGCAGAGCCGTGGTGCATGCATCAATTTAGACAAAAAAAAAAAAACCAAGGTCGGGCATATATCCAACACTGATATAAGTTACACTGGCTGATGATAAATGACAGAGATAAATCATTGATGCTGTTAAGTGGTCCAATTTATTATATTACACCATGCAAAGGGACGATTATGGAGAGTGTGGTTGGTTGGTTGGTTGGTTGGTTGTAATGCTTTGATGCGAGAAAACCTGATGATTCTTATTGAACAATTGTTGATTCCAAGGGACATTCCTCAGTAATTATAACTGTACAACATGCATTAAGGTGTATACAGCAAGAGAGAGAGACAGACACACACACGGGGTGGAGACACAGACCTGCCAGAAGGTTATCCATGGCACCCGTCAGCTTAGGAGTGATGCCGTCTTTGAGCCCAGCTTGATGGTGATGTTTGATGGCGTTCATCCGTCTGTTGAGTCCTCCCTCTATCCTCGGCTGCCTGGCTGCTCTCCTCGGCTGCTCCACCGGTAACACACGCCGCCGCTTCTTCGGTAACTTGGATCTCGCCTTTGTGGGGAGGGAAACAAAAAACGCTAACTGATACAAACTTCGTGAATAATTTTGTTTTTTGGGGTTAGGTTAGGTTAGGTTAGGTTGATGGAGAAAGTTGTGTGTGTGTGTGTGTGTGTGTGTGTGTGTGTGTGTGTGTGTGTGTGTGTGTGTGTGTGTGTGTGTGTCCAGATGTCAGGATTCACTTTCTATACTGTGGATGTAAACAACTGTGTGACGACATTCTGCTGCTGGGTGTTGTTGTTGTTGTTGTTGTTGTTGTTGTAGCATTTTACCTTTACTGTCATTCTACCTAACTTGTTCTGTCAATTTTGATTTTTATTACTTCTATAATTTGTTTTAGCATTTTACTACTGTCTCTCCCTTCTTATCTCCCTCGTCCCTTCCTCCTCATCACCCTATCTATCTCCTTTTTTTTGTAGGGAAAGGAGTGGTGAAAGAAGATTAGAGGTAGAAAAAGGAAGTTAGAGTTCGGAAAGTGAAGAAGTTTAGGAAGAGGTAGGAGAGGGCGTACTGACCACCTTGCTGTGGGTTAACTAAGCTAATAGTGTGTTAGGGTTGTGTCATGGGTTAGTTATTGTCTGTCGGTACAGGTACTAGACGGCCTACCTTATCTCATATATGGGTTTTTTGAGGGCCTTATTTCATATTTCGCCGACCCTATTGGCGGATGCTGGTTTGGGAAGGTTGTCTATTGCCTGGCCGTATAGATCGGGGGTGGTAATGGACCTTTTGAGATTTGGTAAATCTTTGGTAACCATGTTCCCTTCACCCTATCTACCTGTCTCTCTTCACCCACCCACCCACACACCCACCCAACTCCCCATCACTCCCTCCCACCACCGCATATCTCTCCTTCAATGCTCCCACCCCATTTCCTATTTCCCATCTCCCTCCCTCCTAACCCATCACCCATCCCCCATCACTCACCTGCGTATGGCTATAAAACATTGAGAAGTTGGACACAATGACGGGCACCGGCAGGGAGATGGTGAGCACCCCAGCTAGGGCACACAGGGCACCCACGAACATGCCCACGTAGGTCTTCGGCACCATGTCTCCGTAGCCCACTGTTGTCATGGTGACGATGGCCCACCAGAGGCCCTCCGGGATGCTCTTGAAGTCGTTGTGTGGGTTGGCCTTCACAGAAAACGGGAAGAGGGTCTATTTTTTATTACAGGGTTTAATAAAGTCTTGCTACTTTACGTTCAGATATTTAATCTCTTGAGTGTAGTGGCTTAATTGTTATTATTAATTATGAAACAACAAGTACAGGTAAAGATGTATCTATTTACTTTCATCCAGGTGTAGATCCTGTGTCCAAAATATAATGTTTAATAATTCATGTTTGGGGGAAAGTCTGTGTGTGTGTGTGTGTGTGTGTGTGTGTGTGTGTGTGTGTGTGTGTGTGTGTGTCTATCTGTCTGTCTGTCTGTGCGTATGTTAAGGACACCTGAAGCCACACCTGTAATCTCTCGGCGTAGTAGACGAGGCTGGCGAAGATAACGATACCGAGAACGAGGAAGAAGACGAGAAGAGTGAGTTCCTTGGCCGACGCCTTGAACGTGTGTATGAGGATCTTGAGGCCGCCAGAGTGTCTCGTTAGTTTGAAGAGCCGCAATATTCTGATGATACTGAAGAACTCGATCACTTCAGCTGCCTTACCCGCGTTGTCCTCTGCACCCACACACAGCGAAGAGAAACTTGCAATGTTGAATATGTAATAACCCAGAGTACACACACACTCACACATGCACTCACACGCACATTACATACATACATACATACATACATACATACATACATACATACATACATACAGACACACACAGACACACACACACACACACACACACACACTCACACATGGAAAACAGATGTGGAATGTATTACTATTATTCAACACGTAAATGAAATACAGAATAAACAATGCAGAGAAAATAGGTTAAGTTAGGGAAAGATAGATTAGTTTAGGTTGGGGTGGATTAGGTTAGGTTAGGCTAGGTTTGGTTAGTGATGGCTTAGATTAGCTTAGGTTAGGTTTAGGTTGGGTTAGGTTATGTTAGGTTAGGTTGGTTGTGGGGTTGTGTGTGTTTGTTGTGTTAGTTTAGGTTGGTAGTGATGGTTTAGATTATGTTAGGTTTAGGTTGGGTTAGGTTATGTTAGGTTAGGTTTGGTTAGGTTAGGTTTGTCTCACCTTTACCAGCGAACTGTGTCTGGTTGAGAATAATATCCATATAGAAGCTTAAGGTGGCCACGAAGTCAATAATGTTGATGGTGTTCTTAACAAACTCCAACTTCATCGGCGTGACGGTGAAGCGCATTAGGATCTCGAAGGTGAACCAGGCGTTACAGGCAGCCTCCACGTAGAAGAAGGCGTCGTGGGGGTCCGTCCTGTAGTAGGGAGAGAGACAGAGAGAGTTAAGGTGATTCCTCCGTCAGGTGATACACACACATACACACATCTGTATATCTTTGTGTGTGTGTGTGTGTGTGTGTGTGTGTTGAAATGTATTATATATCACAAAAGTGCCAGAAAGATTTACGTGTGTTTAATTAAGAGTCAAACCTCACCTGTGTTTAACGAGGTACCAAGAGCTCTCACCTGTGCTGAACGAGGAACCAAGACCCCCCCCCTCACCTGTCTTTGTTAAGGTACCAGTAGGTGACGTTGGTACCGTTCTGGGAGAGGCCGCTGACGGTAACGTTGACGATAACAGGAACACGCATATTGGGGTGAGTCTTGAGGCAGAAGGACAGGATCGACACCACGATGAAGAAGACTGACAGCATCGCGATCACCTGTAGAGACGGCCAGAGGAGGGGGGGGGGTCAGTAGCGCCAATTAAGTGTCGTCAGAAGAAAGACACAGGTGTAGCGACGGTGTGTAGGTGTTATGATGTGCAGGTGTGACAGTGTTAATCATCCCCTCTCCCTCTCATTCTTTCCCTCTCTCCTTTCCTTTTCCTACATCACCCCCTATCTCCCTCCCCCCTCCCCTCCCTCCCCCCTCCCTCCCTCCTCAGCATTACTAAAACCCCAGTTCTAGAAAACTCACTTACGTCAAATACTGTCCTGTACACACACACACACACACACACACACACACACACACACACACACACACACACACACACACACACACACACACACACACACACACACACACACACTATTAATACAATTTCTTCACCGTCTGAATTTAATATTAGTATGAACATGAAGTGCTAGAGGGTCAGGGGCCTGTGGTGTGATATTCATTATTATGTGTCTTAGGGGGGGAGAGAGGGAGGGAGGGGAGGGAGAGGTGAGGGAGGGAGGAGAGGGAGGGAGGGAGAGAGAGGGGAGGGAGGGAGAGAGAGGGAGGGAGGGAGAGAGAGATGAGGGGGGAGAGAGAGGGAGGGAGGGAGAGAGGGGGGAGGGAGGAGGAGAGAGAGGAGAGGGAGGGAGGGAGAGAGGGAGGGAGAGAGAGGAGAGAGGTGAGAGAGAGGGAGGAGAGGAGGAGGGAGAGAGAGGGAGGGAGGAGGAGAGGTGAGGGAGATAGAGGAGAGGGAGGAGGCAGAGGGGGAGGAGGTCAAACTTTCCACGTTCTCAAAGGTTCGTTAAGTTTATTTTTTCCTCGTAAGTGAAGATTTTAAGAAACACCGCATCTCTTGGATTAGGTTAGGTTAGGTTAGGTTAGGTTAGGTTAGCAATTGCGTTGAATCATCAGGTGAAATTAACTCCCAAAATGGAATTAACTGGATACATTTTTCACACCTCTTAGGAAATTTATTTAAATTACTCAGTTTTTTTCCACATACTTAATACCCTTTCCTCCCCCCTCCCCCACTCACCTCCCCCACTTTCCTTCTCCTCCAACCTTTCCCCACTCACCTTCCCTCTCCCCCAATTCATACTGATGGAATGAATCTAATTTAGGTAGAGTCTCAGCGTAAACTTTGTGCCATTTTTTGACGGGGTTGATTTTTAATGTTTCACCATAAGTTAATTAGGCAGCTTCTTATATCCTGTGTGTGTGTGTGTGTGTGTGTGTGTGTGTGTGTGTGTGTGTGTGTGTGTGTGTCCATCTGTCAGTCTGTTTATTTCTGTATTACAATATTTTTCACGCCATAAAAACATCCAATAATTCACCAATATTCAATTACCTGTTCCCGTGCCAATACCTCATTAATCAAACACACTAATGACTCACCTGTCAAGTCACCTGTCGCAAAAATATATAAGACCCTTGGACTCGGACCCTAACCTCACCTCAGGGATGCACACACAAAATAGATTATCATCGTTGTACAAGTGTCTTCATGAATATTCATTTGTAAGCCAAACTGCCCTCTTGTGTTTACAGTGCGTTGGTTGGAGCTCCTGCTAATTGTGTGTGTGTGTGTGTGTGTGTGTGTGTGTGTGTGTGTGTGTGTGTGTGTGTGTGTGTGTGTGTCGTTATCTAGGTTAAGGTCTTTGGGTCAAGATATGACCAGTTATAGGGGTCTTTGTCAGAGGAAATGATTGATGACCATGATATCGATCGCCCTCTCTCTCTCTCTGCACCTACCTTAGCCATCCAGGAAGAGTAAGGCTCGTCAAACAAAGACCAAATCTTGGGTCTGGTCCGCTGCCACCAGGTAACTCGGCCGTTCAGGTAACTATCCTCGTAACCAAACTTTCTAGCGATCTCCTCCTCGGAAGGTTTGTCTGTGTCTACATCTAGTTTGTCCAGGATTGCTAACGTGGCCTGGAACAATGAGAGGCTTGAGATAATTGAGGTCTGGAACAAGTCGGCAGGGAACAATATGCGTCTGGAATAGCTGGAACAAAATACGAGTGGAAGAATGGAACAATAGTCGTGTTGAACAAAAAAATTAATCTAGAACAAAATGACGTCAGTATTACATGGAATTAAAAACATCTGACACGTATTGTACAGGTGAGCTCGTGAACAATTTTTTCCGAGAAGTGTACCATAAAGGGATTGGGTAATGTGGAACACGATGTGTGTCATACGAAGCGTGGAACAACTGGACCAAGAAGTTTATGACTGAATTGCGATGGAAAGTGTGTGTGTGTGTGTGTGTGTGTGTGTGTGTGTGTGTGTGTGTGTGTGTGTGTGTGTGTGTGTGTGTGTGTGTGTGTGTGTGTGTGTGTGTGTGTGTGTGTAGTAAAGCATGAAGACTCTGGAACAAAGGAAAGAGGGAGAGGAGTTTATGTGTGTGTGTGTGGGGGAGGATAGCGAACAGATGATACAGAATGTGGAGCGTAAACACACACACACACACACACACACACACACACACACACACACACACACACACACTCAGCAACCTTCACAGAGAGCAACTAGCCGGCGGGGATGGAGGGGGGAAACTCAATTACAAGTGGGGATTATACTTCGTCTATACTAATTTCCCCGCGCCCGACTTAACAGCGTGACCTGGGATGACCTGCCACCTCCATCAACAAAAGCTGCCTCCCCTGTTATTGATCCTTTTATTAGTGTTTTGTTAGTTATTGTTGTTTCCTGTGTGGTGTTATGACCTTTGGCTATAATATAATTTGTCCTCACGTGTTGTTCAGTAGCCTCGATAAAAATTGTGTGTTAATATCATAATTCTTTTTTGTTATTGGTCTTTCTCAATTAATCTCTTTGTTATCTTATCTTATCTGTTTGTGTTTTATTCCATGGCTAAATCTTTCTCTCTGACCTGACTGATAGATGTAACTTCACCCTTGACCTCTCTTGTGATGACCTCTAGACTGACCTGAGTGTCACGGTGGATGGTGTAGGTCATCCAGCAACACGGCTCCACCTGGTTTGAGTCGAGGCCCCAGAACTCAAGCTCCTCCTCGAACAGCGGACCACACACGTTGGTTGGGTAGTGTAGCTTCCCGGTCCTGTGAGTGAAGAGAACAGTAATGGATGGGTGGGGTCTCTCTGTCTCTCTGTCTCTCACTCTTTACATAACACATATTAGGACACATAGTATATACTCTCTCTCTCTACACCTTATAATTATCTACCATCACCTTAGCCCATAAAGGTCCATCTGGTCACAAATGTTCGGTCAGTATAATTTAATTTCCTTTATTACCCGTAATTAGGTATGATTTTTCCTTATTACACCCAAATCCTCCTTATTTACACCTAAATCCTCCTTATTACACCCAAATCCTCCTTATTACACCTAAATCCTCCTTATTTACACCCAAATCCTCCTATTACAATTCCAAATCCTCCTTATTTACAATTCCAAATCCTCCTTATTTACACCTAAATCCTCCTTATTACACCCAAATCCTCCTTATTACACCTAAATCCTCCTTATTTCGACATAACCCCCCCCCCTACGTTACACTCGTCCACTCGGCCACACACAATCCGCCCAGCCCAGACACCAGCCTTCATATTAACTTTTTAATTTCTCTTCTAATTTGATAACTGAAGCCTGGAAATAATTAGGCACTGTGGAAGCCATTACTCAACCTAAATACATACATACATACATACATACATACATACATACATACATACATACATACAGACATACATACATACATACATACATACATACATACATACATACATACAGACATACAGACATACATACATACATACATACATACATACATATACAGACAAATTACATATACATCACACATATATAATCCATACATATCATACATTATCATACATACATACATAATACATACAACAAGAATAATAAACATATCTACATACATACATACATACATACATACATACATACATACATACATACAGACATACAGACATACATACATACATACATACATACATACATACCCTGTACACTGGTTCACCACACTTTGAAAGATAGTATAATTAAATCACTATGACTCTGACATGGCATTGAAGGAGACAGACAGACAGACAGACAGACAGACAGACAGACAGACAGACAGACAGACAGACAGACAGAAAATAAAACAGAAAGTAGATTTTGAGATAGATAGATAGAACAAAGAAGTACCCAATCACCATCCACTAATTAGAAAGATTCTCCCTTAAAGAGATGTGAACAGATTATTGTCGACAGGTCATTTCGTCAGAATATTAGACCACCTGAACATTAGTCACCCCCAGCTTATATCATCTGAAGATTAACCACCCTAACGCTAACCTAACTTAACGTAATCCAATCTAACCCAACTTAAGTCTAACCTAACCTAATCTAACCTACATTAGCCTAATTTAACCCAATGTAACCCAACTTAAACCTAACCTAACCCAACCTAACCTAACCTAACCCTACCTAACCATCCACGGTAATATCAGGTGTGGTTAATTATCAGGTGAGATAAATTCGGTCGGCCAATTCCTCAGGTGATTAAAAAATGTCGTGTAATAGAAGAAGCAATTTATAGAAACTTTACCCAATATCCCTCGAATCTTCAGCCTTACAGACAGCCCTCACACCCTCACAGCCCTTACAGACTTCCCTCCCAGCCCTCCTTCCCAGCCCTCACTCACAGTCCTCCATCCCAGCCCTCACTCACAGTCCTCCATCCCAGCCCTCACCTACAGCCCCCTTCACAGCCCCCACTACCCACCCTCACAGCCCTCACAGCCCCCACAGCCAGCCCTCACAGCCCCCAGAATATAAACTCGCGTAATAAGACAGGCACTTTGGTCAGGCAGCAGTGGTACGTAAGACTCCTTCAGGAAATACTGCTGGGATGGACTGCCGCTGGCGAGACGGATGGACAGACAGATAGATGGACGGACAGATAGACAGATGGACGGACAGACAGACAGACAGATGGACGGACAGATAGACAGATGGACGGACAGACAGATAGTTGGACAGACAGACAGACAGATAGGCAGACATACATACGTAAATAAAAACCTCTCTCATCGTCTCCTTTCTCTCTTCTCTCTCTATTCCTCTTTCTCAGTGTCTCTCTCCTCTTTTTCTCTTTCTCTTCCCCGTTTCTCTCTCTTTCTCTTTTATTCTCACTCCCTCTTTCAATCTCTCTCTCTCTCCCTCCACCATATCTACCATAACCTCTACCTCTCGGCCTATAATAATTACCTCTCGGCCTCAATGACTCCTGGGCCTGTGACTCTCCTAATTGGTCGGAGGTAAGACAAACAAGGGGGCTATCTTCTTTTGAGAGAGAGAGAGAGAGAGAGAGAGAGAGAGAGAGAGAGAGAGAGAAAGGGAGAGAGAGAGAGTTCCAATTTTAGATACGAAACAAAACGAAAAAAATAAATCTCTCGCAATAGTTCCTCGCTAAACAAAATCATGTCCTTGTAAAATATGTTAGCGAACCCCTCATCAGTGCCTTGTTGTTCTCGCTGTCTAGGGAGAGGTACAAGCAGGGGTTCATATCAGGGCTTCAGGGGGTGACATAGTGTAGTTCTAGGTCATATCAGGGGTTCAGGGGTGACATAGTGTAGTTCTAGGTCATATCAGGGCTTCAGGGGTGACATAGTGTAGTTTTAGGTCATATCAGGGCTTCAGGGGTGACATAGTGTAGTTTTAGGTCATATCAGGGCTTCAGGGGGTGACATAGTGTAGTTCTAGGTCATATCAGTCTAGGGTGGGTATAGTGTTTTAGGTCATATCAGGGCTTCAGGGGTGACATAGTGTAGTTTTAGGTCATATCAGGGGTTCAGGGGTGACATAGTGTAGTTTTAGGTCATATCAGGGGTTCAGGGGTGACATAGTGAAGTTTTATGTCATATCAGGGCTTCAGGGGTGACATAGTGTAGTTTTAGGTCATATCGGGGTTCATAGGTGGCATAGTGAGTTTTAGGTCATATCAGGGCTTCAGGGTGACATAGTGTAGTTTTAGGTCATATCAGGGCTTCAGGGTGACATAGTGTAGTTTTAGGTCATATCAGGGCTTCAGGGGTGACATAGTGTAGTTCTGGGTCATATCAGGGGTTCAGGGGTGCTATAGTGTAGTTTAGGTCATATCAGGGCTTCAGGGTGACATAGTGTAGTTCTAGGTCTATCAGGGTTCAGGGTGACATAGTGAGGTTTTATGTCATATCAGGGTTCAGGGGTGACATAGTGTGTTTTTAGAGTCATATCAGGCTAGGGGTGACCTGAGTGTAGTTCTAGGTCCATATCAGGGGTTCCGGGTGACATAGTGGGATTTTATGTCATATCAGACTGGGGGTGACATAGTGTAGTTTTAGGTCATATCAGACTGAGGTGACATGTGTAGTTCTAGGTCATATTAGAACTCAGGGGTGACATATGTAGTTTAGAGTCATATCAGACTGGGGGTCACATAATAGTGTCTAGGTCATATCAGGGTTCAGGGGTGACATAGTGAAGTTCTGGGTTACTTTCAGACCCTGGGATCACTTCAGAGGATTCAGGGGAGGATTTAGTAAAACTGGCTGGTCTGAACTGATACAAACCTTATATAAACAAATTCCGTCCATCAGTGGAATAATAAGGAAATTTCTGACTGACTCACCTGTAATAATTAACACATTTGACTGACTCACCTGTAATAATTAACACATTTGACTGACTCACCTGTAATAATTAACACATTTGACTGACTCACCTGTAATAATTAACACATTTGACTGACTCACCTGTAATAATTAACACATTTGACTGACTCACCTGTAATAGTTGAGGATCTGGGCGAAGACTCCTGGGTGCCTGTCGAAGAAGTACTCATTGAGAACAGGGTCGTAGTTCGCCAACGCCTCCGTCAGTCGGGAGAGGCGAGTGGCAGGTATTTTCTTGAGAGTCGCCTTGTATGTCTCGAACCTGTGTGATGATGTGAACAGGTAAACGGTGATTGATTATAAGGTCTCTCTCTCTCTCTCTCTCTCGCTCTCTCTCTCTCTCTCTCTCTCTCTCTTCCCGCCCTCCTCTCCCGCCCCTCTCCCCCAAGGATCCAAAGGTAACCCAAGTTTCGAAGTCCTGCGGGAAAATTAGCGATGATCCGAGGAAGGAGAGGATTAGAGTCACGTTCTCCATACCTTCAATTATCTTTATTTATTTTATTAATTTATGGATAGTTATAACGTGTGTGTGTGTGTGTGTGTGTGTGTGTGTGTGTGTGTGTGTGTGTGTGTCATACGTCTGCTCGTGGTGCTCAATGTATGGCTGACTCCGGGGGTATGTCTGGGGTATGTCTCTGGGTACGACTCTATGGGTACGACTCTCTGTGGGTATGACTCTGGGGGTACGACTCTGGGGTACGACTCTGGTTTGACTCTGTGGGTATGACTCTGGGGGTACGACTCTGGGGTACGTCTCTGGGGGGGGTACGACTCTGGGGTACGACTCTGGGGAGTACGACTCTGGGGGTGCAGTGACTCTGGGAATTACGACTCTGGGGAATTTTGACTCTGGGGGTACGACTCTGGGGGTACGACTCTGGGGGTACGACTCTGGGGGTACGACTCTGGGGGTACGACTCTGGGGGTACGACTCTGGGGGTACGACTCTGAGATACAGTTTCTGATATGTTGCGTTGGATATTGTGTCTCTTGTGTGTGTCTCAGATCTTTATGAGAGAGAGAGAGAGAGAGAGAGAGAGAGAGAGAGAGAGAGAGAGAGAGAACTAATTGCACACTTAATATCTTTACCTCCTTCCATGATATCTCACAGCTGCTCTGAATTAATATATTTTCATCATTCCTTTCTTACATTAGCCTTTGATCTGCTTTTAATTCCACTTTATGAACTAATTTTAATCTAATCTAACCTACCTGCCTTATATCTGAGTGTCAGGAGGTGTCAGTCTTCCTTATATCTAGGTGTCAGGAGGTGTCAGTCTGCCCTATATCTCAAAGCCAGTTAATTATATGTGGTTGAAGATGAATGCAAGGAGGAGATGACAAGATATAGGAAAATACCCAAATTATCTTGTTTTGTTAAGTTAGGATACGTCTGGTTGTGGTTAGGTTAGGTTAGGTTAGGTTAGGTTAGGTTAGGTTAGGTTAGGTTGTGAGTGGGTGTGAGGTGGAGGCGTGGCGTGGCAGCAGAGGGACACACAGGTATTGATATGCATCGTGGTATTGTATGTAAATTAGCTTGGTACAGTTTTAGGTTGTTTTTAAAAGGTCATTGACGCGTTACCAGCTGTAGTGTGTGGGTAAAAGGTAGTTATGGTGTTAGTAATGATAATGAGGCTGTCTGTTATACTACTACTTCCACTATTTTACTACTACTACTACTACTACTACTACTACTACTACTACTATATTTGTAAAGTAGCCTCCAGCCTCCCCCAATAGCCACACCTTCGCCACCATTTATTTACCTTAATATTAAATATCCTAATACATAAGCAACTATCCTATCTGTGTTAAATTAGTTGAGCCGCAGATCGATGCAGCTACTACTACTACTACTACTACTACTACTACTTTTTATGGCCTCCTTTGCCGCCCGTCTTCTACACATTTTTATTGCTTAACTATCCCTAATACAAAAGTAACTACTCTCTCTCTCTCTCTCTCTCTCTCTCTCTCTCTCTCTCTCTCTCTCTCTCTCTCTCTCTCCTTACCTTATGCCTCCCACGTTAAGAATGATTCTATTCTCTCCGTCCATGGTAATTATAGTGTGGTAGCGTGGTAGTGTGGTAGGTCACCCAGCAGGCTCACATCACGACGCCGCCACCACCACACTAGCCTGTTGACTTCGTTGTTTCACCATCATCATCATCATCACCATCATCATCATCATCATCTTCATCATCATCACTTCACGTATCACCACCATCACCATACAGACCCTGGCTTATCAACATCATCCTGGGAAAAAAAAGAGATATGGAATGAGTTTTAGAGTTCATACTGGGAAAAATAATCATGCTGGGAGTTTATATTCATCCTGGAATAAAAAATAGCGATTATCCCGGTAGGTACTAATGAGGAGTATACCATCCTAGGAAAAAAAATTACTCAGTTAATGATTATGATGATACTAGAAAAAAATATATAAACGCACACACACACATACACACACACATACACACACACACACACACACACACACACACACCGGAACAATTTTTTGCAACAAATGAGTTTTCACGTAGATTGTTACTGTAAGCCACTACTGTGCAACAAGTGAACTGCCTGCAAGCTTTCCACTTTCTGCAATCAGCGAGCTTCCTGGAGGGGTCACTAGTTTGCAACATGTGAGAGTCGAGGTAGAATGCCACACCATGCAACATTCTGCAACATATATCTCCCTCCTGGTGTAGTCAAATGTCTAAATTCTCTAATATATTGCGTGTGGGTTTTATTTCCCCGCAGCAAGAGTTAAGAGAATGTATTTTTTTGTTAGAACGTGTAGTCTTGGTGTCATTTGGTCGCCATCTTTGTTTCGGGAGTAAGTTGTGTGTTAAGGTTAAGTTAAGTTAAGTTAAGAGAGCACTTTACAGGGTGTAGATTGTAGAAGTTAGGGATATAGGTTAAATGGGTTCCAGTTCTAATGGGTTCCAGTTCTAATAGGTTCCAGTTTTAATGGGTTCCAGTTCTAATGGGTTCCAGTTCTAATGGGTTCCAGTTCTAATAGGTTCCAGTTCTAATAGGTCCCAGTTCTAATAGGTCCCAGTTCTAATAGGTTCCAGTTCTAATGGGTTCCAGTTCTAATAGGTTCCAGTTCTAATAGGTTCCAGTTCTAATAGGACCCAGTTCTAATGGGTTCCAGTTCTAATGGGTTCCAGTTCTAATAGGTTCCAGTTCTAATAGGTCCCAGTTCTAATAGGTTCCAGTTCTAATATGTCCCAGTTCTAATAGGTCCCAGTTCTAATATGTCCCAGTTCTAATAGGTCCCAGTTCTAATAGGTCCCAGTTCTAATAGGTTCCATTCTTAATACGAAACAATGGCAATATAACCTAAACTAACCTAACCTAACCTAACCAGCCCTCGTACTGTAGTGTCCTCAGGGAACACGATCAGCCCCCGGATAAAAACTCTTGTGCACTTAACCCCCCCCTCTCCTCCCCTCCCCGCCTCCCCCCCTCCTTCTACCCCTCAGGTGACGTTTACTGAGGAGGAGAAAATTGCTTCTCTCCTCTACCTGACATCTTCATTCTCCCTCCAGATGGTGAGAGAGTGTAGCGAGGGAGGTGTTTTGCGTTCGTCATCTCCAACGAACCCGGAATCGGAACCCCAATATCGAACCTAATACCGAACCCCAATATCGAACCCAATACCGAACCTAAACCCCGTACCGAACCAATCACTGAACCCAAATCCCTAAAGAAACCAATACCGAACCCAATACCGAACCCCAAATAGAGTCGTTAGATTATTTTAAAACATTTTGTTCATTAATCAAATTATTCTAAAATATTACAAACTCATCAAATTCTTGTACAATATTCCCCCATTACTCACAAAGGCTACGATAAAATACCTCAAAAGCCTAAATAACCTGAGCCTATATTTGCTAATTGCCAACAGGTGTAAAAAAAAATTAATGGGTTCATGAATTCGGTATAGGTAACACGACTTCCCACTCAGGACCGAAGGCTGGCCCAGGCGGGATTAATTTGACACTGTTCTAAAAAAAATGGAGGTTAGGTTAAGTTAGGTTAGGTTAGGTTAGGTTAGGTTAGGTTAGGTTAAGTTAGGTTAGGTTAGGTTAAGTTAGGTTAGGTTAGGTTAGGTTAGGTTAGGTTAGGTTAGGTTAGGTTAGGTTAGGTTAGGTTAGGTTAAGTTAGGTTAGGTTAAGTTAGGTTAGGTTAGGATTGGGTTAGGTTGGGTTAAGTTAGGTTGGGTTAAGTTGGGTTGGGTTAAGCTGGGTTGGGTTAGGTTGGGTTAAGTTAGGTTAAGTTTGGTTGGGTTAGGTTGGGTTAAGTTAGGTTTAGGTTAAGTTAGGTTGGTTTAGGATTAGGATTAAGGTTAAGTTAGGTTAGGTTAAGTTAGGTTAGGTTAAGTTAGGTTAGGTTAAGTTAGGTTAGGTTAAGTTAGGTTAGGTTAAGTTAGGTTAGGTTAAGTTAGGTTTGGTTAGGTTAAGGAATAAATTTTTCACTACAGCCCAGCATAGATCTCTAAGCTTCACCATCTCTTGCCCAGACGTCCGGTGGTATTGAGGAGTGAACGATCGCCTGGGGTCTGTGTGGTCTAACCTCTACTCGACTCCTCGCCCACTCGAATCCCAGGACGAACTAATGCTTTTTTTTTCCTCTTAGTTCCACGTTATCCCTCGCCTGAGAATTTGGGAGAGATAACAGACAATAACACATTCCCTCCGTTAGTCTGTCTGTAAACACTAAGTCACACACACACACACACACACACACACACACACACACACACACACACACACACACCCCCACACACACACACACACAAGACCAGTCATAAACAACCTTCCTTTACCTAGATTGAAAAGGCAACATTTTACCCACCAAATATATTGCGACAACATTACTATCAGGTTTTACGAGAATACCGTCGAACACTGGACAGATAAGAACGTTCACAACCCCTTAAGAACGAACATAGTGAGTGGAACGTTACAGAAGTTATCGTTCAACTTTAAGACGCCTTTCCCTTGTGTAAATATTTAAACCATCATCCTTAAGTAAATGAATAAACTATGTTCTTTTTTTTGATGTATAAACCATTTTCCTAAAGATTATATGCCATTGGTCTAGACTCTCCTATAATTTAACGTCTGTGTGTAGTTATATCACATATAGAATACATATATAGGTATAACATCATATAGCAGACCTACAGGCAGCTTCAGGGATATAATTGTTATATATCTGATGGAATAATAATGTGTTTGTGCATCTGTCTGTTTTGTCAAAGGCCTGGAAATATATAGGTTTTACGAGCACTAGTACACGCCTATAGAAAATAAAATAGCAATAAATAGGAAAAGTAATTGGCAATAGCACTTTACAGGGTGAAATAATGTGCTGCTGTTGTTGTTGTTAATGGGATTTTTTTTTCAGGTGTTAGAGGGTTATAGAATTTTTTTTTTAATGAAATGGACAGAATCAGTTTCAGAGCGTCGTTTGTCGTTTTGGTTAACTGTTAACCCTTTGAGTATGATGATTTAACCCTTTGAGTATGATGATTTAACCCTTTGAGTATGATGATTTAACCCTTTGAGTATGATAATTTAACCCTTTGAGTATGATGATTTAACCCTTTGAGTATGATGATTTAACCCTTTGAGTATGATGATTTAACCCTTTGAGTATGATGATTTAACCCTTTGAGTATGATGATTTAACCCTTTGAGTATGATGATTTAACCCTTTGACTATAATGATTTAACCCTTTGACTATGATGATTTAACCCTTTGAATACCTTAACTTAACCCTTTGAATACTATCACATAACCCTTTGAGTACGATGCCAACCCCTTCAATAATAAATAAATATAACAACAAAAATATAGAAACTATTTAACGATTTCACTTGAGTTGTTAAATAAAAAAAATAATCACTTTATATTGAACTTGAAATATTGGTAAGATTTCTGTTTATATATTTCTTGGAAAGCTGAGGGGTCGTGTTTGTTTCATTGTCACAGAGTCATAATGTATTGCCCTGGGTGTCATTAGGAAGAATAATATATTACTGTAATTTCTTTGTGATTTAAGGCTTTTTCTCTATACTTTTCCTTTAGGGTGTGGGGATGTGGGTAGAGGAAGGGGGATGTGGGTGGGGAAAGGGGTGTGTGGGTGGGTAAGGGTGTGTGTGGGTAAGGGGTGTGTGGAGTAAGGTGTGTGTGGGTAAGGTGTGCTGGGTGGGTAGGGGTGTGTGGGTGGGTAAAGGGTGTGTGTGTGTGTGTGTGTGTGTGTTGTGTGTGTGTGTGTGTGTGTGTGTGTGTGTGTGTGTGCATTTGTGTGCGTGTGTGCGTGTGTGTGCGTGTGTGTGTGTGTGTGTGTGTGTGTGTGTGTGTGTGTGTGGCTCAACAAAGTACAATAAATATTTAGAAAGCTATAATGAACAGAGCTTTTCAATAAGGGTTTTCACAGTGTAATTCATGAGAGGGTGTACGTGTGTTTCTGGAGGTCAGGTTAGGTTAGTTTAGGTTAGGTTAGTGTATCACGTATTCTGAGGTCAGGTCAGGTCAGGTCAGGTCAGGTCAGGTCAGGTTAGTGCATCATAAACTGTGTGGTACAAGATATGTGTCTGTGTGTGGCGGTCTGTGAAAGAATATTACCCAGTATGTCGGTTCGAATCCCCTTACAGGAAATAACATGACGCTTAGTATTTATTTGTTTATTTACCACCAACATTATTCAGTGAGGGAGTAGAACCACTGGAGTAGAACCACTGGAGTAGAACCATTGGAGTAGAACCATTGGAGTAGAACCATTGGAGTAGAACCATTGGAGCAGAACCACTGGAGTAGAACCATTGGAGTAGAACCATAGTAACTTTTTGTTTATAAATAGTATTACATGTCATTAGAGGTCAAGTTTGTTGGAGTTGTATATGACATGCAATGAAGTTCCCGGGCGTACAGCAGAGGAGGGGGAGGAGGAGAGAGGGAGGGAGAGGAGGGAGGGGGGAGGAGAGATGTCTGAGAGATGAGGGGGAGGGAAAGAGGGAGAGAGGTGAATAGGGAGAAAGAGTAATGGGTGAGGGAGAAAGAGAGAGAGAGGCAGGGAGGAAGGGAGGGAGAAAGAGTAATGGGGAGAGAGGGAGAGAGAGAGAGAGCGATGTAGAAAGGGAATGGGAGGGAAGGAAACAGGGAGAAGGAGGGAATGAAGAAGAAATTGAAGAAAGAAGAAAGAGGGAGGGAGTGATTCAAAAAG